TTCTTCTTCTTCTTCTTCTTCTTCTTCTTCTTCTTCTTCTTCTTCTTCTTCTTCTTCTTCTTCTTCTTCTTCTTCTTCTTCTTCTTCTTCTTCTTCTTCATATGCATGAAATTAAAGTAATTGTTATGGTTTTAAAATACAGATCTGAGTTTTAGTAGGGGTGATACACAACACAAGCTATGATTCAGATACACTCAGAATGGCTTTCCACTGTGTTTTCAGGTTGTGTTCTCTCTGTGTGGTGGGAAGCGGCGTCCCTCCCACGCAGACGCGACAACATCTGTTTTTTAGTAACAGGTTTCTGCTCTTATGAAATGCAGAGGCATGTTGCGAAAAATCAGTGTGAAATGTTGAAATTGTCGGTGCGATGCTTGTTGGGCTTCTTACAAGTTACTGGCATTCAAACCTTTTACTTTAGCTCTGTTCCTTCCTGAACATGCCTAACAATTTCTCTTTTGCGTTTCCAGAGAATAGCTGCAATTAAGCAGTCCTTGGAGGCCCAAAACATCAGCTTCTTCTTGAGAGAAGGGCACTGGATCTTGGTGACCTTGGACAGCTCTGATTCAGGTACTGCCCACACTGGTTCTGACACTCGGTGGAGTCTTCTCGAGGGAGAACGTCCTCCTAATACCTAAAATGAGTTCGTATTCAGGCTGAATATGCATTCAGAATTCTGCCGCGGCAGCCGTTGCATTCGTACAGAATCCCATCAAAGAATGTTGAAAGTGTGGACAGTTTGTTAGGAATCAGCCTTTTCACTAAAATCCAGAATTGAGAAGATAGATTTTGAAAGCAGTCCACGTGTAAAAGTGAGGCAAATGCTTTGACTAGAAAGGTTCAGACCAGTGTTCCCTCTAAGCTGAGTTACTGTGAGCTAGCTCACAGTTTTCTAGCCTCCGGCTCACACGTTTTCGTCTTAGCTCAGGAAGGAGGGCTCCAGAGCTAACTAATTTATGCAGTAGCCAAATGGCTCGCTCACAACTTTAACGCCAGTAGCTCACAAGGTATAATTTTTGCTCACAAGACTCCGTAGCTTAGAGGGATCATTGGTTCAGACCCTGGTCCTAACCATATTATGAGGCAGGAAAATTCAGTCAAAGTGAAGAGAATCTTACTCCGAAAAATGTGCAAGTTGGCGTATCAGTCCCATTTACTTAATTGGAAGCAGAGAGCTCTTCTACTGCAAGGCAAACAACTTTGTTCCAGGATGTGGAGGGAGGGGAAGAAAGGGCTAGAGAACATAAGAGGAGCCGTGTCGGATCAGGCCACTGATCCATCCAGTCCAACAGTCAGTGTCATGCAGTGGCCAAAACCCAGGTGCCATCAGGAGGTTCACCAGTGGGCCCAGCACTCCAGAAGCCCTCCCGCCAATGCCCCCCAGGGACCAAGAATATAGAGCATCAGTGTCTGATCACTGCAAGATCATTGGATCTTACTACTTTGAATTCCATCAGTTATTTTGGAGCATGAAGTCCTGGAAGAAGTCAAGATCCCCAAGGACAGGACTTGGCCACAAAAACAATATTAATTGCAGTCTCTAAAAGTGTTTCTGAAGCCCATTTTTATTATGTGAACGGCAGATGGGATCTTTTGAATCCATTGCACTAGTAGAAGATTTTCCTTTGATAGAAGGAGAGGAATTTCACATTACCCTTTTTAACCCGTTTTGAAGCTGTTTTTGATCCATCGTGGAGTAAACCGGTATAGGGCTGCCATTTCACACATGGCTTTCCCCTTCCGGTAAAGAGCTGGATCTGAAGCGGTTTGCTATTTCAGACTGCACTGCTTTCCCCCCACTTTTTCCCTGCCGTTTTTTGCCCGTGTGGGCGATCTCCAGCTTTTTTTTTTTAACATTCGCATTAGGGCACTATAGCGCTATAGCACTATAACAAAACACTCCAGGCATTTCAATGGGGTTGATATAATGCTGTTGTGTTATAGCGTTATAGCTCTATAGCGCTATGACGCTATAAAGCGAACGTTCCAAAAAACAAAAAAAGCCGGAGATCGCCCACGTGGGCGAAAAATGGTGGGGAAAAGCACATCGGAACTGGGAGAGGAAACTGAAGACTACTTGGAAGCGGTTGACAGGTAAAACGCTTCAGCCCTGTTTCCTAAACGGGACAGAAGCGTTTGTGTCTGAAATTACAAATATATTCCGGTAGGGAACCGGTTCTAAAACGGTTCTGTCTGAAATTACAGACCAAAAACCATTTGGGAACCGTTCCTCTTCCGGATTATATCATCTGTCTGAAATTCCTCGGAGTCTTCCCCAATGCAAGAATCTTTTTGAGTTGTCTTCTTTCCAAGGGGAAGTCTTCTTCTGTTGGAAGAAAGGCTCTACTCTAGTAGAATGGGATGCAGCCCAATGTACGTTAGTGTGGGTTTTTAGCTATGGTTTAAATACTTCTGATAATGCTAGAAAAAGATTCACTTATTAAACTTAAAAGGCTTCAAACGTCATGCTTTTGTTCAGTATATCGGAACAGGTTTAGTTTATTATTATTACGGTCTTAAGACCATCATACAGAATAAACATAATATGTGAGGTTCAGTATGTCTGTTTCACCCACTAGCTGAAGACCCTAACAGTCTCACTGTTTTTAAACATATGGAGGTGGATGCCGTCTGGATACTCCTGCAGTCCGTATCGCAATGGTTTCCATGCCGCTAAATACCCTAACAATACCTGTCAGGTCCACCAAACCCTTTTGTCCCTCATGAGGTGCTTCGAATGAATGGGATAATCACTTTCCCCAAGTCATCAAATGCAAATAACTACACCTCTCCGTCTGTGTTCACTGATGCCCTGGTTTCCATTGGTCAGGAAGAAATATGTGTGCTAAGCGTGAGAAACAACCCAGGCCTTCCAAATGAAAGATGAAAAAAAGACGAATCTTACCATTGTGTACCTTCCATTTCAGATTCACAGGCTCTTGGAGGAGGCGGAGGATATTGGGTGATCGTAGCCCTTTTCGTGATCTCTCTAGTGGTTGTAGGCGCTATCGTTCTATACAAGTTTAAAAGGCAAGCAGTCTATTATTTCATGTGGTATGTACCGCGTATGTTGTCGATATGTTGTCTTATCTGGAATGCAGAGCTCTCTGGGGCATCTTGAAGGCTGCAGACCTTTATCTCCTTTTTTGAGAGATTTTGTATTTCCAGGAGAATGGTGTTGAGTTCCATCCATGTGAGAGAACTTGGAGAAGTAACGTTTCGACCTGCAGGCGAAGGACCTACATGGTGGTGTCCCCACAGCAGGGAAACAGAAAGTTTTTTCTTTGACGAACTCATGCCTAATTTACAGGGCTCCTGCATACGTTTTTCTATGTGTATATATATATATATGTGTGTGTGTATGTGTGTGTGTGTATATATATATATATACAGGGCTATTTTGGGGCAGGAACGCACAGGAACGGAGTTCCGGCTGGCTCCCGAGTTGGCCACGCCCAGCAGGAACTCATTAGCATAATAGGCCACACCCAACAGCATAAACTCATTCGCATATTAGGCCAGGCAGGGAACCCAGGCGTGTTTAGAATGCCTTCCTTTCCCTTGCCCATCTGCAAAAGCGGAGAGGCTTAGGGGAAGGGGGGGCATGTCTGTTCCGCTGTTCCGGTGCGCTTCTGCCCCAAAATAGCCATATATACACATACATATATATACATACATACATATATACACACACATATACATACATATACAGGGCTCTTTTTGTAGAAAAAGCCCAGCAGGAACTCATTAGCATAATAGGTCATACCCAACAACAGAAACTCATTAGCATATTAGGACACACCCCTGACAGCACAGCTCATTGGCATATTAGGCCACACCCCCATGTTACCAGAAGTGTGGTCATCCAGCCACACCCACCTTTTGCTTTTTTTGGTAGCAGGAACTCCTTTGCATGTTAGGCCACTCACCCCTAATGTAACCAATCCTAATGAGTTTCTGCTGTTGGGTGTGGCCTGTTATGCTAATGACTTCCTGCTGGGCGTGGCCAACTTGGGAGCCAGCCGGAACTCCATTCCTGTGCGTTCCTGCCCAAAAATAGCCCTGTACACACACACATACACACACATATATATACACAATGAAAAAGAGGTGCAGGAGCTCATTAACATAACTCATTAGCATAAATTATTTGCATATGCCACACACCCTGACATCACCAGAAGCGTGTCAGAAGGCAACACCCACCGCTCAGGCGCCACTGGAGTGTTTTGGATTGCTAGCTAGTGGGGGGCGGGACATGCAGATCTGTCCTCGCAGAGGAGGGAGAGCTTGTGCCTGAATAAAATCTGGTCTTAAAGGTTCCACTGGACGGTTTTGGACTGGGGGCCCGGGGGTGGGCTCTGCAACTTACCTGGCTGCGTCTTGCTCTGACTGAGGGCTGCTGGGAGCAGGAGGTGGGGCTTGTTGCATGTGCCCGCCCCCTGAACTCTTTACTGCTGGAGCTCCGCTCCTGTGCGTTCCTGCAGGAAATGACCCTTGCTAATTTATCATACATTTATGTATTTCACCTTATATCATTAAAAATATTACTTGCAAAAATAACAACTTTATACTTTATATTTTGGACATATAAAGTATAAAGTTATTTTTGCAAGCGATGTTTTTAATGATATAAGGCGAAATACATACATGTATGATAAATTAGGCATGAGTTTGTCAAAGAAGGAATTGAAAGATAAATCCCTCCCCCCACTGTATGTTTGTTATGTCTTTAAAAAATAAAAAATATTGGGGGGAAACAGAAAGGTTTTTTTTCACCCCCTCCCTGCCTTGAAGGTGTTCAGAGTAGGTGGGGTCATTGAGAAAGACCAGCAAAACCACCTCCCCCACTAGATCGGGTCCTTTGGGTGGAAAGACAGGGACCGAGCACTTCCCACACCAGTTCAGTTCTGCCGAGTGTTGGCAGAGAGCTGAATGATTTTACTCGGCTCCGTCAAAATGCTGTAGCGGAGTGGGACTTCTGCAGATGAGGACAAAACCGTTCCTGTGTCTGCCAAAAAGTCAGCATAGCAGAGTGCCTGCCCGGTGGTTCCCATAATAAATATCAGGGCTATTTTGGGGCAGGAACACACAGGAACGGAGTTCCGGCTGGCCCACGTTGGCCACCCCCAGCACGAACTCATTAGCATAATAGGCCACACCCAACAGCAGGAACTCATTAGGATTGGCTACATTAGGGGTGTGTGGCCTAACATGCAAAGGAGTCCCTGCTACAAAAAAAGGCCCTGGGTTTGGACAACAAACAAGGTAAACAGAATAAGAAGCAAAAGGTGGGTGTGGCTGGATGACCACACTTCTGGTAACATGGGGGTGCGGCCTAATATGCTAATGAGTGGTGCAGTCAGGGGGTGTGGCCTAATATGCCAATGAGTTTCTGCTGCTGGGTGTGGCCTATTATGCTAATGAGTTCCTGCAGGACTTTTTCTACAAAAAAAGCCCTGATAAATATCAGCACCCCTTAGTGGAGGCTGCTTAGTTGAGGCACTGATTTGATTTAGTAGTGATCTGTTCTTCATAACAATGTCAAACCAAGAAAGCAAAGCAAGTCTGTTCTTCTCCAAGTTCAATACAGAGTTTCCCTTCATGTGATCGTGCAATACCTGGCACTGGAAATGCAGACACCGCAGCTAGAGGAGCATGTTTCCTAATCCATTTATGCCCATAGACACTGTGCTCCCAAATGTAATAGCAGTGGAATAATGTCAAATCATTGTGATGTTTGGGGTGTTACCGTAAGGTCCAAATATATTTCTGGGATTTACTTACTGCTACCTCCCTGGCTTCAATGGCAGTGTTCCTTTTGAACAAATGATGCTCTGTGTGTTAAACCTCACTTAGCTCTCAGGACTGACTTAATTCTAATGTCTAGAATGAATTTTAATTGCTACCACTGATAATGGGATGGTCAGCCTTTAAACCATCGTATTATATTGCTCAGATATGTTGTTGCATGTGCTGGATATGGACTTAAAGCTGTAAGCCTTCCAAGGTAAAAGGTAAAGGTTTCCCTTGCTCGAAAGCCAGTCGAGTCCGACTCTAGGGTTGCGGTGCTCATCTCCGTTTCAAAGCCGAAGAGCCAGCGCTGTCTGAAGACGTTTCCATGGTCATGTGGCCGGCATGACTAAACACCAAGGCGCACGGAACACTGTTACCTTCCCACCGAAGCGGTACCTATTGATCTCCTTGCAATTTCTTGCTTTCGAACTGCTAGGTTGGCAGGAGCTGGAACTAGGAAAGTTTAAAAGGTACAATCCGTATTCATCCCAATCCATGGGTCACAAAAGGCCCACCACTGGTTTTCTTTGCCACTAGTAAGTTCCACAAAAACTGCAGAATTGTACAAGCATTCCCCACGGCCGCATCTGTATGCGCCTCTCTTTCCACTGAATCCTCCTCATAACTGAAATCCTGGACTCTCTAGGAAATTGCCAGGCAGAAACGTCTATGCTCAGATGCAGAACGAAAAAGAGCAGGAAATGACCAGCCCTGTGAACCGCAGGGAAGACACCCAAAATATCATCCAGGGGGAGGAGTTCATCGACGATGACCTAGACTGTCAGACACTAGGAAATGCAAGAGGTAAGTACTCTTCTCTTACCGACAGGTTCCTTTGCAGCTCTCAGAAGGTTTACTGGTACCCTACAGCATCATCTCCTGTATCACTGTGGCACCCACAAAATACTTTTACATAGCACATTTAGAATCAGTGCATGGGAAAAGTAAAGAGTAGTCAAGATATTGCTGGCAATGGAGGCTTTAAATCACAGTTTCTCAACCAGAGAGGTTTTGTCTGTCCATAACTGTGGAGTTTTTAAATGTTTTATTTTGTTTAATTAACTCATACCTTGGCGGAACGGTGGTTTGACTTTATTTACTCAACTGTTTAGGAATGCACACCCGGTGCGTCAACAGATCTGATACACAGAACTGCTTTCCTTTATTATGCTATGCTGATTCCAGATCTAGAACTATATGTAAAAGAGCAGGAAATGACCAGCCCTGTGAACCGCAGGGAAGACACCCAAAATATCATCCAGGGGGAGGAGTTCATCGACGATGACCTAGACTGTCAGACACTAGGAAATGCAAGAGGTAAGTACTCTTCTCTTATCGACAGGTTCCTTTGCAGCTCTCAGAAGGTTTACTGGTACCCTACAGCATCATCTCCTGTATCACTGTGGCCCCCACAAAATACTTTCACACAGCGCATTTAGAATCAGTGCATGGAAAAAGTAAAGAGTAGTAAAGAGTAAAGATATTGCTGGCAATGAAGACTTTAAACCACAGTTGCTCGACTAGAGAGGTTTTGTCTGTCCATAACTCTGGAGTTTTTAAATGTTTTATTTTGTTTAATTAACTCATACCTTGGCGGAACGGTGGTTCCTTGCTTCTGTTATCTTGAGCACTACGGTCTCTTGATTTGTTGACTTGTCTAAAGAATTAAAAATAATTACTATTGTTAGTTCAAAACCAAATGAACTTGTGCAGCAATATGTTGTTTTTGTATTGAATGTGGATTCAGACTTGGTGTTTTTTTTAACTCTACGCACTCCTGGCTTTATATAATTTTTTTCCTACAAGCCTGCTGTCATTTGATAAACCACAAGGAGACGGGCAGGCTCAAAAGTGAAGATACTGACGTCATCTCTGATGCAGTGTTCCCTCTAAGCTGAGTTAGTGTGAGCCAGCTCACAGTTTTTTAGCCTCCGGCTCACACATTTTTGTCTTAGCTCAGGAAGGAGGGCTCCAGAGCAAAGTAATGTATGCTGGAGCCAACTCACTCACTCACAACTTTAATGCCAGTAGTTCACGAAGTAGAATTTTTGCTCACAAGACTCCACAGCTTAGAGGGAACATTGCTCTGATGTATGATTTTATTAACGATGCGATGTCCATCAAATCAGCATTTCTTCGCCTTTGTAAAAGTGAGATGATCTGGACCCCGTTCAACAAACTGTGGGCACCGTCAGTCCCCTGTGGATGTGAGGGTGATCTGGCTGTGACATCCGTTGCCCCATCGACTGCAAGGGTTGATTCGGCTGCTCTGGCCGGCTAGGCGAGTGTCCCCTTCCTCCCTCTCTGCTCCATGCGTACCATTCTTCGGTCAAGGGCATATGATCCCTTGAGATATTGAGAGCCAGTTTGGTGTTGTGGTTAAGTGTGTGGACTCTAATCTGGGAGAACCGGGTTTGATTCCCCACTCCTCTGCTTGCAGCTGCTGGATGACCTTGGGCAAGCGGTAGTTCTCTCAGAGCCGTTCTTGAAAAAGAGCCGTTTCTGTCAGAGCTCTCTCAGCCCCACCTACCTCACAGGGTGTCTGTTGTGGGGAGGGGAAGGGAAAGGAGTTTGTAAGCCGCTCTGAGACACCTTTGAGTAGTGAAGGGCGGGGTATAAATCCAATCTCTTCTTCTTCTTCTTCTTCTTCTACCTCACAGGGTGTCTGTTGTGGGGAGGGGAAGGGAAAGGAGTTTGTAAGCCGCTCTGAGACACCTTTGGGTAGTGAAGGGCGGGGTGTAAATCCAATCTCTTCTCTTCTTCTCCTTTTTCTTTCAGAGCTGCTCTCTCAAGGGCAGTTCTCGAAAGAGCTTTCTTAGCCCCACCTACCTCACAGGGTGTCTGTTGTGGGGAAGAGAAGGGAAAGGGATTTGTAAGCCGCTCTAAGACACCTTTGGGTAGTGAAGGGCAGGGTATAAATCCAACCTCCTCCTCCTCTTCCTCCTCCTCCTCCTCCTCCTCCTCCTCCTCCTCTTCTTCTTCTTCTTCCAGCCCTTCATTGCAAAAGTGTGTGGCAAACATCTGCCTTTGGCTTCCTACCCTTATAGGATGAAAGCCACACTTGTGGGAAAATGTGCTCAGGCTAAATGAGAAAGCCGTCTGAATGGGGGGGGGCAGGGTTAGTTTTCGCTTGCTGAACGCAGGGAGACGGGCAGGCTGGAGAAAGTGGAAGAGCCACGAAAGGGACCCTTTGGTGCCTGTCCTTCTTGTAGTGACAGGTTTTCTGTTGTCCCCCTGGGGCCGTCTTTTCCTGCCAGGGATGTCTTCCAAATAAGAAGGGCACGAGAACTGCAAATCCTATCGTCGGCAGGAAATTTTAGCCATGGAAAACAGAGAATGTGTAAGTGAAAGAAGGATGGGTTCCAAAGGGTCCTCTCTTGTGCTTATCAAGCCTTCCTCGCTTCCATTATTCCCTCCATCTTCAAGAATTGGTAGCATTTTGTTGCTAGGAGGTCTGGTGAGCGGTGAAGTGGTGGAGAAAGGCCTGCTGGGTCAGACCAGGGGTCCATCTTAGTCCAGCATCCTGCCTCACACAGTGGCCAACCAGTTCCTCTGGAGGGCCAACAACAGGGCAGAGAGGCCAAGGCCTTCCCCTGAAAAGAACATCACAAGAGCCCTACTGGGTCAAACCAGTGGTCCATCTAGTCCAGCATCCTGTCTCGCACTGTGGCCGACCAGTTCCTCTGGAGGGCCAACAACAGTGCAGAGAGGCCGAGGCCTTCCCCTGAGGTTGCCTCCTGGCATTTTTGTGAGGAACAGGTTCAAACCAGGCGTAGCGGCATTGTGAGCCCACGCACTCCCAGTTCAAACGTTGCAGGCAGCCCTTTTTGCTTCACACAAAATTCCTTGGACGTATCATCAGAGCAGCTGCTGCCAAAATCACACCGGAATTTTGCTGTAGGTAAAATTTGTTGGGACGTTAGGAGCATGCTGAACCCGCTGAGAAACGTTATCTGTCCTCCTGTTTGTTTCCTTTGAAATTCCTTCTGTAACTTGGCCGAGCACTCCCCCACCACCACCCCCAACCTTTGCTTTATAGTGTCACTTTAGGGTACCTTCAGTGGAAACTTTTCTGATGGATCAGCCATAACGAAGGCAAGAAGGATCCAAACTGAACGGGCTGCTATCAGCTCAGTATTCTCTAAAAATATTACTCGAAGGCCAAGACAGAATTGGACGCTCTGGTCACGGTCGCTGGAAAGCGAGGACCTCCGTGATTTGTGATCTGCTGTGAATGAGGAAAGACAATTCAGGATCAGGATTTCCCACGCTCCTCCTCTCCCCAGAGTCATATGTAATGACCATCATCATTACTTCTGTTTTTGTCTGGCGACGCTCCAGTTAGTTTGCCTGCATCTGAGTCGTGCCATATAAGCATCTAAAACGGCAAGACACGGAGCAGATATAAACAGTTGTTTGTAACGTTTGTGTAGGCTGGTGGCCCAAGAAAAACGGCAGGAGGGGAACAGCTTGGAAATTCCACGCCCACCCTCCAAATCTCCCAGGATTCTAGAAGCTCTCAGGAGTTTGACATGATTGGCCCTACGCAGAGGGTCTGCCCTTTCTCTGGCTGTGGTGGGAGACCTCCCACTAGCAAACACGGCCACCACTCTGTCAGCCCGTGAGAGAAAAATAAATTCTAAAATCGCCATTGGTGCAATGGCAGGTCTGTCACTTTCGGGTTTTTCTCCGGACGTGATGTCGCACCATTGTGGTGACAGTGGCCTCTCTATGCCCCGCCCCCGCCGGTTGCTGGCCACAGTTAGCAAGTCACATCTTGTATTTGGTACTTTGTCCTGGCAGGGAATTTGTCAAGGTGTCAGGAAAACACCTGTGCTAGTAGAATGGATCCACAGGATCTTTGATTGTTTTTTTACTTGGTGCCGAGTGGTATATTTCCTGGCTTTTCCCTGACTTTCCCACTCACACAAGCTGCACACCCACTCTGGGTCTGTGTGTTCACACATGTGTGTTACGTGTTCAGTAAAAAGTAAAGGTAAAGGTTTCCCTTGCTCGAAAGCCAGTCGAATCTGACTCTAGGGGGCAGTGCTCATCTCCGTTTCTGTCAGATAGCTGCCATGTTTTGCTTGTTCCCGTCTCTGATCCTGGCTTGCTTGCTGCTCTGCCGCTTGCAGTAAACATTGCTAGGGAGACCGTGAGAGCCAGTACTGCCAGGCGGCATTATCTATCTGGCCTTGTGAAGGAGGGAGAGCTTGCGTTCCACCACTGGTGTGAATCTTTCGGCTCTCATGAGGCACTGTGACTCTCCCACTTATCATGTATCCTCCCGCCGGGAGAATTCCCCCGCGCGTGCTCGAATTTCATTTGCTTAGCCATTTGCCTCATCCTGCTATATGTAAGGATGTTTCCGCCCCATGGTCATTCCTAACCATAATCCTGTGGATAGGGTACCAGTTTTGTAATCTAATAAAGCATAACGCTTCCTCGGAAACGTGCGTGGAGATTTACTTACTGCTGAA